GAGGCACACGTCCGTCTCGGATTGAACCCTTATCTAGGCTTTATCGTTTTCTGGTGCAGTTTGCATTCGAAGCCGATTCAGAGTCAGTTACTACGTAACATTGGCTCGATTGCTGGGTTTTGAGCCTTGAATTTGGTTCAGGTGCCCCTTTTCTTGCAGTATGCCGTGATTACTAAATTATTCAGGCTGTGAATAACAGCTCTAGTAAATGACACACAGTAGCTCACGCAAACGTCCTCTCCCGTTGATGTGCTACTGCTATTTAACTCCTACTTCTTATCCCGTGGTTTTGCCCATCGCCCCAGATTTTTTATATATTTATCTATGGAACTAAAGAGAGACAATGACTTTGGCCTTCTTGTATGCCTATGGTTACTCGATTCCATAATTTTGACTCGTTGCTAGAACGATTAATTTACTTGGCAGGGTTATTTTTTATTCTGTTGCATTAACTTACTGCTAGTAGAATCTATTTTTAGATGAAATTCATGAACTATGCCTTTGCTGATTTTAATGTTCATTAATATTTTATTTTTGAGTAGATTTTCGACACTACCACTAAATCAGATATAGGACTATGATATATACGTATACATTATGCCTCGCATAGGTATTATCAAAATCCTCTGGCAGAACTCGAATCATGACTGAGCAGCGGGTAATTTCGCCACGTTACTCACTACGCCGCATTGTCATTAATGTCCCAGGGTCACAGAGCAGAAGTGACTTTCAAGTATTTGTTTGTGGGTTTTTCGATGAAGAAAACTTGTATTTTATATAGCAATCGATAACATTACTTATATTTGGCTTTTGAGTAGATTTTAGAGACTACCAGTAAATCAGATATGTGTTGTCTTCACCCTATTTCGCTTAAGTTGATGAAAGGTTACTAGTTGAATTTTCCCACTATTATCTGCCCTGTTAGCCCTATGACACTCGTGACAATGTGGCATAGTAATTGATATGCCGAGGTTATACGTTGCACTGTAATGGTTCAAGTCCCGATGGGGGGTTCGATAAGACCAAGGCGAGGTCGAATCTCGGTTGAGAATAACTTTTGGGAAGCAAAGCTATGCGAAATTTAATGGAAACGTCATTTCTACTCATATCTTTATGGGAAAATTCAATTATCAGTCCTCCATAACCTTAAGCGGAATAGTAAATACAGCTCATATGGTCCTTTCTTAACCAATACAAACCAGAGTATATGTAGAAAAACTGGGTTTCGAAGAATCTCTTGATAGATTGGCGTTGTAGTATTTTTCATTTCGCTTACTAGTCGAATGGATTTGTGAGTGTTCCCACCGTGAGCTGAAGGGGATTCATAAAAAATGAGTCCCATTTAGAATTATTGTGAATAATAAGACGTATTAAATACAACGATTTAATTGTCACGAGTTAAAGCAGATCTCCGTGACCGATTTCAGTTAAGAATTCTCATGAATTCGTCAACTTATTCGATGAGCAGGAGATAGAAAGTGGAGATTTTCTGGCAAGTTTTGATTTCGAGTCAATGTTAAATCACATTCCTGACGACGATGCCACACAATCACAACAGCTCCACAATCAACATTAGACCAACACCCAGAGATTTTACGAAGTATTAAGTTAATTAAAGTGTCAATAATGGTACTGGCCAACCTGATGATGCACTGTTTATATTTTAATTTTACTTGTAAACTGTACTAACAAACACGAGGCTTAGCTATGGGATCGTACTTGCCACCAATTTTAGCAAATAATTACAATTTGAGGAATGCTTAATTCAGAAGGCGCTTTTAGTTCCTAAACTACTAGTTTGCCTTATGGACAACTACTTTCCTGTTTGGCAACATGGCAAAGAAGGCCTGGAGAATTTTCTTGGCTTGATGAACAGGATCGATGGGAAGACGAATTTCACCATCGAGTTAGAATAAGAAGATGGTTTCCGAGTTAGCAAAGAGGGCACCAGATTAGGTCAAGATATGTATAGGAAACCCACAAATGCAGGTTTCCTTTTGGATGTCTTCTCCAACCACACTTATGTGGTTAAAGTAGGAGTTATGAAGTCTGTGAAAATAAGGAGCCTATGTCTGACAGCTGTTAAGCATCAGGACCAGGAAGTGAGGAGACTAAGGCGAATTCTGGTTGTGAATAATTATTCACGAGGACCGGTTGACAATTATTTTAGAATATTGTTCAGTACGATTTAGGGAAATACATGATTGGGGTAGATAAAAAAAGAGCCTTTATGTTGCTATTGTGTGATCCGTCGAAGAAGATAGGCGAATTACTTATGAGGTGGAACATCAGGACTATTTTTGAAGAGAAAATCACACTTTCTTTTAGAGATTACTATGGCCCTCTCTCCATATTGTATTGTTACAAGATTTTATGTTCATGCGGTAGCGCTTATGTGGTAGGGATCTGTAGGCCCATATATAAGAGGTCATCCGTACACGAAATAGCCTGCAAGAGTATGTGGGTTGTAAAAATCGGAATTGACAGAACACGGGGCTCGCACAGGACCCCAGAAAGATTGGTCTAATGCCAAACGCCTAGCTGGACATGGAGACTGTACCAAACAGTAAGCGAAATATTGGGGAGGCGATAGAAATCATCAAAACAGCCAACACCCTGAAGAGAAGGCATGAGTGTAGGAAGTGAAACGGGAACTACTTGTGGCTGTTGGATAGCTTAAGTGGGACGAAAAGTATCCCAGAGCAAGAGGAGGAGGCTTGATTAGGCTGGAATATGGCTTTAGCTCTCACGTCATACTCATGTCAAGAGCAATGCATTCACATAACACGCGTACAATTGAACGTAATCACATGCGGTAACATTGCGGGATTAAAGGCATACGTGTTTTAGGGGAGGAGGCAGCTGTTCGTTTTCAATTGCACCCGCTTCACATGTCATCCGCAGCCACTTGTCCTAACTTATGAGCATGTGGGAAACGCATAGAAATCCAACAAAAATATGAGATTCGTAGGTGACCCAAGTTGGAGTATAGGAAAGAAGTAGGTTTGAAGCCGGCCTTCTTGCCTTCGTGTTTTTGATGAATTATCGTTAAGCCTTGTGTCCTGCTCTGACGATGCTCGTCACATGATGGACGAAAGCTCAGCAAGGATTCATCGGGGTCACAGGGCGGTGCACCGAGGACCTATTCGCACAAAATCTACAGTCACAGTTCCATAACAATCCTTCTACAGTTTCCGGTAAGGCCAGCTTACGAATGCCTTCCACTCGCCTCTTGAAACGAAATGAAAGCTACATTTCACTTACTTTAATACATCCGCTATTTTGACTGACTTTTTTAACTTGAGAATGGCGTTTGTTTTGGGCGTTTACGTCTTGGCTTGATTACATTCTCGAATTATGTCAGATCATATATCAGAATTTTGGTCTTCTATGTCGGCAGTCAGCATAATTTCAAACAAACCTGTCAACCGGTTTGCAGCATCTGCGATTATTAATATATTTAAACTTTTCTCAACTCCGGTCTAATCTACGAATTTAGCCTTATCTTAGCTTAATTCTTAATATGGATTAAATTGGCTTCTTAAATTTAGTTAGGCAAAATCACTAGTTGTTGAGCTTACTTCCATTTCGAGTGGAAGTGTTGCCTGAAGAGATTCGAAGGTCGGTTCCACCAGAAGACGACGGCCGATTCCTCTTGACCAGCTGTCGATTGGCT